GGGGGGTCTGGTTTTGTCAAATGAGTTGAAAAAGCAGACACAAGGGCTCTGCAGCGACGGGAAAGAAAAGCCAGTGAATGTGTTAAAACTTGACAATCATGTCGGGTTTGTTCGTTCCGTGCGTAAAAATAGACGCGTTTGGTTCAAGTTCAAAATCAAGCGTTTTGGGGCACAGATGGGTCGAAACTTGATGCGTTTGAATAAAGCTGAGGCTGAGAAACCCCCCAAAAAACAACGTACAGACTAAAAACTAACAGAACTGATCCCAAAAAACGCAACCCTGAGCTGATTTGTTGAGGTTAAAACGCGCGTATTTGTCGTGGAAACGCAAAAAACACAAACACGAATCAGTGGAAATAATCACTCCAGTCACTGTAAATACTGTCAGAAATAGAGGAAACCAAACGATTCTGAGCAGAAACAGAGACAAATAAAGGCTGTGCAGCTTCACAGAGAGCAAAAAAAACAAAGTCAAGCGAATGAATAAAGTCATGAAATGCAAGTTACTCACTGATTTCCATGCTCTGGAGGGGGTTGTAGCGCTTGCAGTTACAAGTACAGGAGACATTGGCGGCGGTGGCGTTTAAAACACCCATCAAGTTCAACATTTAAAGCCTCCTAAAAGCAGACATAAATGCTCCAGATGAGGTCGGCTGGGTGTCTGAAGAAGAGAAGGGAAGAAGGAGAGGAGACTAAAAAAATAAAAAAAAACGAACCAAACTCCTCTCCAAAAAAAGAGAGATCCTTTTCTCTCTTCTCTCCAGCCTCCTCTCCTTCCCCTCCGGTCCGTGCGTCCTCCTCCTGTCTCGGTTCTCTCCTCCTCCTTCTCGCCGGTTTCTCCTCCTCTTCCGAAATCTATCTATCTATCTATTTATCTATCTCTCGGCGCACAGTGGAGTGTCGGTGCAGCCGGTGAAATGTAGTTTGAAGCTCGCTTTCTGCTACTTTCCGTCCCAGGAATCAGCGTGAACGGATCCGTGTTTTCCGCCGAGTGACCGGCGACTAAACTGCTGAGGGACGTCTGTCTGCTCCTGTCTGCTCCTCACCCTCCTCCCTCTCTCTCTCTCCCTCTCTCCATTCTCCCTCCCTCTCTCTCTCTTTCTGTCTCTAGGGATTTCTCAGTCTCTCTCTCTCTCTCTCTTTCCTCTCTCCCATTTCCAATTTGCTTTTTTGGCACATCACAAGTCGCTGCGTACAGACAGCGAGGAAACAGGAACACCAAAGAGTCGCTGTTTTATTTATTTACTCTCCCCCTTCCCAAAAAAAATAAATAAATAAATCACAAAATTTGCTTCCCCCAGAGAGCAGCAGCATACAAGACCTTGCATAAAAAAAAAGAGAAAGAATCCCACCAACCCTGTCTGCTGCTGCTGCTGCTATCATTATTATGTAACCTACACGCACTGAAGCTTTTTTTGCGTCTTATTTTAACACTGGCACAGAAAATAAAGGCTTCTGGAGGACTTTATTAAAACATTTACACTCATTTGTGCTCACAAATGAATAAATTGTTTGCAGCATGTGGCCCCAGAGTCTAGGCTTCATCCTCAAATCACCAATTTGTGCTTTTTTTAAATTTAGTTTGTGTCACTGAATTTATTATTTTCGAAAAGTGATAAATGGTGTGCAGCCTGAGTCATGTGGTTTAATTCTCAAATGGTGCGCACAAACCCTCAGTTTAGGCTCACAGATAATTAATAGATAGCTATCAAGTGCTTCGTTTGTGCCACTGAATTGCTAATATGTGACCTTGAACTCACACATTTACCTGTAAAATTACACTAAAGTTCTGCAGCTGCCAGTATTTTACTGTATTTCTACAGAGCTCTAATTGTAATTTATTTAAATAGTCACTTACTGCATGATTGAATATAATACACTGACAAAGAAATTCCACAAACTGGTGAAAATCCAGCAGCTAAAGCACCAGAAAAAAATGCAAAGTTTGAAAAACTGTTAAAACAGTGAAAATTACAGCAAATGTCAGAAAAATAAAAATAGATTTTACTGATTTAAATACAGTAAAATTCATGTAATTATAGGATTAAACATTGTTGAAGAACAAATTTATATTTGTAAAAATATTAAATTTTGTTTTAGATATTGTTTACAGTTTTGCCTTTTTTTGTTTGTTTTTGTTTACATGTAAATTCATATTTTTCTTATCTGTGATTGGACTAGATAATATTTGTAATTTAACAAATCAGGGATAATCTTTAAAATAGCAGTACGTTGTTGAAACGTTTGTTAAAAACAGAAGAATGTTAATTTTTTTTACAGTGTACATGCACACTAATTATTACATTTGTGCTCATGAACTGAGAGACTGGAACATTTTATTGTTATTATTATTATTATTATTATTATTATTATTATTATTATTATTAATATGCTTTTCAATAAAAATAAAACCAATACAATTAAAATACAATAAGCACACAGAATAATTGATAAAAGTAGAAAGCACGCAAATAAAATGATAAAACTTCAGTAAAATCAGGAAAAATCTCTCCGATAAAAATGTGTTTTAAGAAGTGACTTAAAAGAGAGCACGGAATCAGCCGACCTGATTTCCTCGGGCAGGTTTGAATGCATGTGTTTGAAGTATATAAGAGGCAACATAACTTTGACTAAAAAGACTACAAGTGTACTTGTTAGGTTTTTGCAGAGTTTTTAACCAAACCAATGATCACCACTGCACAGCCACGATGTCATGATCACTCAGAGGGGATGTGGGACGTTCTGTTGGGGGAACTTTAGCTTCTGGGATTTACCTGGAGGTTACTGTTCCTCCATGCAAACATCGTTATGGACCAAACACATCCGGCCCAATGCTTCACCTGGTAGCATCATAGACTGTATAAAAGATGGACGTAGCAACCGGCCCTGAAAAATGAAGCCAACCCGGAAGTGTCAAAAACCTGCAG